TGATTTGCACATTAATTACTCTTGTTGACTCAAATAGTTTCCAAACACATCGTAGAAAAAATATAAAACAATAGAAACAGAATGCCTTTGTTTTTCTGCATCATGAAGAAAATACTTCTTAATCCTTCCCATTCCTTGTTAACAAAGTAACAGCAGTCACTCCTGGTCCCACCTGTTTTGCACCCTCCTCACTTGCCATCAAAATGTTTTGGTGATTATCTACTCTTATTGATAAATACCATTGCTAGGCTGTTTTTTTTTGCAGAAGTTGATGTAATCCAAACAAAATATTTCTTGGAACAAGATCTTAGGGCATGTTCTCTTCAGATCATAAGTTACACTAAATATGGCAGATTGACTGAAACCAATTAAAAAAAGTTCCATGAGATTATTATTTCACCATGTGATAATTCAGCAATTCGTTCTAATAGTTAATTTTCAAACATCACGTCAGCAATTAGTTTCAATGATTAGCTTAAAAATATACTTTGAGTATTTAGCTTCAGCATTTGGTTTAGATCCACCTAAATTATCCATTTCATAATTTAAAGATAGTAAATGTAGAGTCAGTAGAATTTCTTGGTTATTTCTTCTGAAGAAAAAGACCTGTATGGACATTGTTACGCAAATTGTTGAACTGAATGGCTATGGTGGCAAGACTATATGAGAGAAGTAGAAAACAAAATTAAATAAATAAGTATGTGTACATTTTCAAAATTAAGAACTTAATGGGATAAAGGAGTTCTTAGTTTTGAAAATATGCAAATTTTCCAGGGCATTTTATAGACTTTTTTTCTTTTCTAGCAAAAACAATCTGCATAGTCACAGTTGTTGAGTCTGCTGGATCTCTGCAGCAGTCCTTGAAATGACCATGCAATAGTGTGATTAGCATGGACACATGGTTAATAATTTTGTCTTCTCTACAACACACACAAAACTGTGTGTTTTTACAAGGTTTAGTAAAAAGAAGGAAATCTATTCTTTCAAGTGGCTGCATTCATACATGGTGTAATCAATAATATTTTTTTTGAGTTAGTGCTGTGTGAACCTCTGTTGTGCTGCACAAACTATGGTTTGTTGCAGAAGTAGAAAACTTATACAAATTAGTACCTTAACTGCTTGTTATTTCAAGGATGGGAATATGTAAAATCTCTGTGTGTGATCATCTTATGCACAATTTAGTGAATGAAATTAATAGTCTGAGTTATCACAATATACCAAACTATAAACATCTAGAATAGACATTTTTTAAAAATACCCCTAGGTCCTCTTTCACAAATAATGGCCTCAATGCTAGTCACTTTGCCTCATCATCATCATCATCACCATCATCACCAACACTACCATGCTTAATATGGGGCTTGTCTCCCCCCCCAATCAGCTCAGTATTCAGTGGACTAAAGCAAAATGCAAATAAACTAGATCTTATTTTCAGATAGCAAGCACAATTAGTTTTTTTATTTCCTGTTGCCGTCCAGTGAGGGCAATGGAAGGTGCTCAGGTTTCATGACCCTGCCCTTACTTCTGTCCTGCCTACAAAGAGTCCTCCATTTAAAGTCTTTCCCATTCTGGTTGTAGGAAAATTAACTGCAGGAAGACGGTAAGTGGAGCTGCAGAGGGCTGGAGGGAGCAGGGAAGGTAGACTAGGGGTTGTGACTGAGTCAAAATTACCCACATCTAGTTGTTTGGGAGAGTAGAAAGTACGAGTGGCTCTTATGGAATGTGGATAACTGTTTTTGCTCTAAGTATTAGAACATAAAAGTGAGAGATGCCTTTCTTGTTTCAGAAAGAGGGAGAGACTGAGCAATCACTGTAAGGCAAAGAAAAAAAGAAAAGGCAAAATAATCTATAGAATGTGAAATAGAAAAGCTAGGGAATAAGAAAGGAGAAAATAACCCATTAAGGTAGCAAAAGACAAAGAAAGAAAGCTAGAATCAAATGTAAACTGTTACAAGAATCTAAAGATAGAGGGGGCTTTGGACCTCCATACTGGAGACTTTATTATCAAGCAGCTATTCTGCTTTGGCTCAAAGAATGGATTGTATTGAGAAATAAAAGATTGCTTTATTTAGAGGAATATGATCTTCAACTAGGTTGGCATGCTTTTATATGGTATGAGGAAACTAAAGCGCATAAATACTTTCAAAATCATGCCATAAGAAACATACTACTTTCAGAATGGGAGAAAGTCAGATATATACCTGAGTGGCTTTCAGCAATGGAAAATACCTGAGTGGCTTTCAACAATGGAAGCATTTGCTTACCCAAACCTGATTAACTATGATAAACTGGTTAGTTATAAAGATATTTTGGACAAAGAGGGAAAACTTAAGGACAGGCAAACTCTTCAACAACAAGGTATTGACTTAACATGGTGGTCCTATTTGCAAATTCAAACAAGATATGAAAAAGATATAAAATCAACAGGATTTTATAAAGAACAGACTCCATTAGATAAAATTTTGTTAAAAACAGATGAGAATTTGATTAAGAAACTCTATAAATTTCTTTTAAACTGGAAGATGGAAGAAGAACAAGTGAAAGAAACAATGATAGTATGGGCAAAGAACTTTGGATATTCTATAGATTTAGAAGACTGGCAAAAACTTTTGGATAAAAATATTAAGCTTACAAAAGCTGCAGCATATAAAGAAAACTTATACAAGATGTTTTACAGATGGCATATGACACCAGTTCGTTTAGCGAAAATGTTTAAAAATGTTTCGAATACTTGTTGGAAATGTAAACAACAGCCAGGCACTTATTACCATGCCTGGTGGATATGCCCTAATGCTAAGAAATATTGGTCTAAGATCCATAGATGGTTGGAAAAGATGATGAAAATACAGATAGAATTTAAACCAGAATTGTTTTTGTTAGGAATATTAAGACCTAATTATGGTAAAGAGAATGACTATTTGATACTGCATGTTTTAACAGCTGCAAGGATAGTATTTGCCCAATTTTGGAAAAATGAGAATCTACCTTCTGACCAGGCTATAATTACTAAAATGTTAGAGTGTGCAGAAATGGATAGATTAACATTGGAGATGAAAGAAAAAGATGATTCAGTTTATTTTAAAACTTGGGAAAAATTCTATCAATGGTTAGAGACCCGTTAGAATCTGAAAAGGACTTAATATTTCAGAATAGATGATTGATCTTTAACTGAGTTATAATCTATAGATTGATAACATCTTTACTTTTAGTGATTTAGTGATTTCTAACTGTTAATGTTGATAGTCATGACTTGTTGAGATTTTATTATTCATGTTTATTTAAATAGATGAATTTATTTGTTTATTAATTGTTAGTAATATGGTTATAGTTAATTTTATTTTAAAAATGGTTGAGTATGATATTTACTTACTATTATGATCCGGACGGTAGTTGTTTATTAAAATATGTGATTGTACCTATCCTTATTCCATCCTAAATCCCCTATTTCCTTCCCCCATCCCCTTCCCCTTCCATACCCGTATTGTTCCTATTTTTTCCTTATTCATATAAACTCAATAAAATATATTTTTTAAAAAAGGTAGCAAAAGACAATCTTTTGTCACATGGACCAATTTGGAATGCTGAAAACATGTGATGGACACACTTGCAAAATGGCCAGCTTGGCAATCTCCCCTATGTACACAGAGATGGTCTTGTGGGCAAGACTAATCCCAATACAACCCTTGCGTCAGAAGGCAAAACTGGCCTTCTAGGACTTCTAGGCATTTTCATAGAGTCCAAAAGCAGTATTTACTCAGTTCGATGGGCCAGACATATTACTTATTTAGTTAGTTCCACTCCTTCCATTCAGGAGCTCCTAATGGCTCAACTAATACCCTTTTCCTCATTTTTTTAAACAGTCTTGGCAGGAATCTTGAGGTGAGAGGGGCTAACTGGCTGAAAATCAGCCAGTGATTATATATGTATTATTTTTTGGTTTTAATTATAGTGGTGTTTATTATTAATGCTATATTTTGTTATATGATACATGTTATAAGTTAATATTATATATAAATTCCCTCCTTAAAGACTAGTCTGCTTTCATCTCTTATAGATTCTGTTTGTATCTATAAGTCAAATACCAAATTTGGATCTATAATAATAATAATAAAGTTGGAAGGGACCTTGGAGGTCATCGAGTCCAACCTCCTGCTCAGACAGGAATCCCTACACCATTTTGGACAAATGGCTGTCCAGTATCTTCTTAAAAACTTCCAGTGTTGGAGCATTCACTGCTTCTGGAGGCAAGTGTTCCATTGGTTAATTGTTCTAACTGTCAGGAAGCTTCTCCTTAGTTCTAGGTTGCTTCTCTCCTTGATTAGTTTACATCCGTTGCTTCTTGTCCTGCCTTCAGGTGCTTTGGAGAATAGCTTGACTCCCTCTTCTTTGTGGCAGCCCCTGAGATATTGGAACACTGCTATCATGTCCCCCCTCGTCCTTCTCTTCGTTAAACTAGACATACCCAATTCCAGCAACCGTTCCTTATATGTTTTAGCCTCCAGTCCCCTAAACATTTTTATTGCTCTTCTCTGTACTCTTTCTAGAGTCTCAGCATCTTTTTTACATCGTGGTGACCAAAATCTGTTCTGTTACACATTTTTGTTACTCTTAGTGTATGAAATTTCCACATTCTGGTTTCTTGCTATAAACCATAAATCCTCTAAGTTGCTAATTGTAGAGGCCAGTTTGGTATATTGGTTAAGACCCCAGACTGGGGACTGACTGGTGCTCTAGTCATGTCTTAGGTTCAAAGCCAATTGGGCCAATCCCTCTATTTCAGCTCTAGGCAGAAGGAGACAGTGACAAACCATTTCTGAAATCTTACCAAGGAAACTGCAGGACCAAATCCAGTCAGTTCCCTGGATTTAAGACTGAGGCAAAGATATTAAAAAAAGAATTGAAATGAGGGTGGTACTGTGGGTACTTTATAAATGATTCCTGGTTTCTAGGATGCTGCAATTTCTGAAGACATTTCTGTTTCAAGAATCCGACTGGTTTCCATGGATCTCTCTGCCAGGACCACTCTTCTCTTTACCATCTCATGCTGCCTGTGGAATATCGAAGCCCGAGAATATACAATGGCTCTCAGTGTGCCAAATGGGGGTAACTGGGGTGACTGGGGCCAAACTACATTTTGCGAGAGTGGCTATGCTCATGGCTTCTCCCTGAAGGTAAAAGTTTATTTTTCGGATGCTCCCTTGCTTCTGAATATTCCTTTGAAATTAGTCCTTCAGCTTTTCATTATCTTTCAAGAAGAGCAATCAAGAAGTAATTGCATTGATGCTTAGTCCTCTTTAATTCTATAATTAAAGAAAGGCATTGAGTTTGGTGTAGAATATTGTTTGGCAGATCTAATCTTGACCTAAGATTGATCCATTGTCCAATATTTATGGCTAAATGTTGAGATTTCTGAGAGTTGAAGTCTGAAGGACAGCAAGGGAAGAAAGGCTGATCTAGAACTTTATCAGGGTCACATTTTCTTAGGTGGAAGAAAAGCAAGGGGCAGGTGATGATACAGCTCTGAATGGAATCCGCTTGTTCTGTACCGATGGCACAACAATTGAGTCTAAAGTTGGACCGTGAGTAACTGACTTTCTGATCCTATTTCATTTTCTTGTCATGAAGAATGGGAGAGGAGATGACTGGTGCTTAGTTCACTGCTACCCAACCCTGAAAGCCAACTTTGAATAATGATTCACCTCTTCACTATTGGGGAATTAATTCATTCAAGGGTAATAAAAGGAAGAGGTCTTCTTTTCAGGGGGAATAGTGCTTACAATATTGGAAGACAATTTGTGGAATGAGTAGCCCCTGTTGTAATGGATTCTGAAGATGACATGGATTAGGAGAAGTCTTGGGAAAGAGATAAAGTATTCTTTATCCCATTTTCCCTAGGGGTTTATGCCAGCAGCCACAAGATCCCTTTCCTCCAATTATTTTTTCTACAATAGTCGAAAGAGTTCGTTTGAATGTCAACCATTATTGACAGAATTATTTAATGAATGTTGATAATCAAATGTAGATTTTTACTTGATTCCAAGCCCAAGATTTTAGCCATTATGCTTGGATGTCTTGGACTGATGTCAAGTGTTTAATTTAGACACTTATCCATCTTTATCTTTTTGGCAGGTGGGGAACCTGGACCAAAAAACAATTCTGCTACACAGGCTACCTGGTTTGTTTTTCTCTGAGAGTGGAACCACAACAAGGAGAGGGTGATGATACAGCAGCTAACAACATTAAGTTCACCTGCAGTGATGGTGTTGGCCTGATGGGTCTTGGCGCAACATGGGGTGAATTTGGCCCATGGAGCCAGCGCTGCCTCAAAGGTGGCATATGTGGGATGAGAACAAGGGTGGAGGATGCACAGGGCATTGGTGATGACACAGCACTCAATGATGTGCATTTTTTCTGCTGTTAATGTTTTCTCATCTATCAATATACTTTTGCTATGTATTGTCAAAGACTGTTAATTATAGTTAAATATTAAGGAGAATAAAGATTGTATTTGGGCAAAACATGGTCATGCAAGGTAACCATCCTCAGGTGTTACCTCTTCAGACAGATCAGACTGGAGAGGGCTAAGGAAGGTAGCAGAAACCTCAAGCATTGCAAGTGTGATTGACTGTTTCCCTTCTCATCCTTTTGATCCAAGGCAGAATAACATACTCTAATATCATGTTTCTGATTGCTTGCATGCAAATAAAATTATGTTGCATCTTTAAAGTCATTGGTTTCCTTCAGTGATCCAGGTATGGGCCACAATAATACATATGTATTTCTTTCAGTTTATTTATTCTTGTACTCTGCATTTCATTACAGTGAATACAGAAATATTAGAGAAAATAAGCTATAATAAGGCCAGGATTGGTTAAGAACCAAACAGAATTGATGCTAAGAAGGTTTTTGATTTTTAAATTGATCATTAAATTGAAAATGAAACTATTGGACCCATATTTACAGCCAAATCTTTGAAGCTGAATTTCAGAACGGTTATGTTGTACATTGTTAAGTCCTAGAGATTAGTAAGAAATGAACTACATGTTACTCATGCTATTTCTGCTTCTTGATGATGTAAAGATTATTGATCTTAACTCACTTTGAAATGAGAAATGACTTTTTTGAAAAGATGTGGAAACTGGGCAAAATTTCAAGAATGCGCCAGAGGCAACTTCATTTAGTTTGGTTTCAACATGGTAGAACTTCAAGAAGAAGAACACTTGATGAAAAAGCAGCTAAAAATGATACACTTGTAAAACAATTGAAAAGCCTTGGAGTGGGTCAAGATCAGAAATCATAATCCCTCTTCATGGTCTGTTGGTTCTGGCCACTCCAAGATTATTGCATTTAATTCTGAGCACTGCATTTTTGGAAGAACATTGATGAATTGAATGTACAGAAGAAAGCAATTACCATGTTAACAGACTTCGGGGAAATAGATATGAGGAATGGCTGGAATCACTGAATATGTTTAGTTTATAAAAGAGAATATTATGGGACAACATGATAATTGCCCTGAAGTATTTGAAGGGCTGAAATGCAGAAAAGGGGGAAGGCTTGTGGGTTTCATTCTACAAGAGGATACAAGAAATAATGAGTTTAAATTATGAACAAGATTTTCCTAATGTCAAATGAAACTGTTATGGGCCACTTTGCGTGAGAGATTGTAGACTCTTTCACTTAAACAGAGTTTGGATGGCCAGCTGCTCTAGGTACTAGGTTGACCCAGGCCTGAAACTGAATTAAATGCCCTGCAAGGGCCCTTCTAAGTTTTTAGATACTCTTGAATAAGGCTTAAGATCCAAGGTCTATTTGTCAACACCAGGAGAGAACCTATTTTTGCTACTCCTTATAATTAACAATTCATGGCTGTTTCACTGTTATATATCACAATTCACTTAGGAGCCTCTGGAGAGTGCCTCACCATGTGATGCTATGCTCTTCATGTAAACACGTGGGTCTCAAGAGGTTCATGTTTAAATGTCAGGAGCAACATTTTCAACTGGGTTTATAAAGAAATTATGAAGCAATGGCATAACAAAGACAGATCATCTAAATCCTGTTCCATAGTCTTAGAATTTATTTTGAAACCATTTCTGGGTTCTGGGAGCAACCTCTGAGAATTCCAGTCAGAACTATTAAAAACCAGTAGTTTCTGCCATTTTTGAGGACAAAAAGTCATGAAAAGTATAAAATAAAGAAAAAAGAAGGAAATAAGAAAAAAGAGGAAGGGAATGAAAACAGGTCATTCCAATTTTTTTTAAAAAAAGTCTGACCAACCCAGAGTTCTGGAGAGACTTTAGATGAGCACCTTTTAAAATTTGGGGGGAATTGCAGAAAGATGCAGAAAGGCGATTGATTTGCACATTAATTACTCTTGTTGACTCAAATAGTTTCCAAACACATCATAGAAAAAATATAAAACAATAGAAACAGAATGCCTTTGTTTTTCTGCATCATGAAGAAAATACTTCTTAATCCTTCCCATTCCTTGTTAACAAAGTAACAGCAGTCACTCCTGGTCCCACCTGTTTTGCACCCTCCTCACTTGCCATCAAAATGTTTTGGTGATTATCTACTCTTATTGATAAATACCATTGCTAGGCTGTTTTTTGCAGAAGTTGATGTAATCCAAACAAAATATTTCTTGGAACAAGATCTTAGGGCATGTTCTCTTCAGATCATAAGTTACACTAAATATGGCAGATTGACTGAAACCGATTAAAAAAAGTTCCATGAGATTATTATTTCACTATGTGATAATTCAGCAATTCGTTCTAACAGTTAATTTTCAAACATCATGTCAGCAATTAGTTTCAATGATTAGCTTAAAAAATATACTTTGAACATTTAGCTTCAGCATTTGGTTTAGATCCACCTAAATTATCCATTTCATAATTTAAAGATAATAAATGTAGAGTCAGTAGAATTTCTTGGTTATTTCTTCTGAAGAAAAAGACCTGTATGGACATTATTGTTACGCAAATTGTTGAACTGAATGGCTATGGTGGCAAGACTATATGAGAGAAGTAGAAAACAAAATTAAATAAATAAGTATGTGTACATTTTCAAAATTAAGAACTTAATGGGATAAAGGAGTTCTTAGTTTTGAAAATATGCAAATTTTCCAGGGCATTTTATAGACTTTTTTTTTCTTTTCTAGCAAAAACAATCTGCATAGTCACAGTTGTTGAGTCTGCTGCATCTCTGCAGCAGTCCTTGGAATGACCATGCAATAGTGTGATTAGCATGGACACATGGTTAATAATTTTGTCTTCTCTACAACACACACAAAACTGTATGTTTTTACTGGGTTGAGTAAAAAGCCACTATTCTTTCTAGTGGCTGCATTCATACATGGTGTAAACCATAATATGGTTTGTTTGAGTTAGTGCTGTGTGAACCTCTGTTGTGCTGCACAAACTATGGTTTATTGCAGAAGTAGGCAACTTATACAAATTAGTACTTTAACTGCTTGTTATTTCAAGGATGGGAATATGTAAAATCTCTGTGTGTGATCATCTTATGCATAATTTAGTGAATAAAATTAATAGTCTGAGTTCTCACAATATACCAAACTACAATAGACATCTAGAATAGACATTTTTAAAAAATACCCCTAGGTCCTCTTTCACAAATAATGGCCTCAATGCTAGTCACTTTGCCTCATCATCATCATCATCACCATCATCACCAACACTACCATGCTTAATATGGGGCTTGTCTCCCCCCCCAATCAGCTCAGTATTCAGTGGACTAAAGCAAAATGCAAATAAACTAGATCTTATTTTCAGATAGCAAGCACAATTAGTTTTTTTAGTTCCTGTCTCTGTCCAGTGAGGGCAACGGAAGGTGTTCAGGTTTCATGACCCTGCCCTTACTTCTGTCCTGCCTACAAACAGTTCTCCATTTAAAGTCTTTCCCATTCTGGTTGTAGGAAAATTAACTGCAGGAAGACGGTAAGTGGAGCTGCAGAGGGCTGGAGAGAGCAGGGAAGGCAGAACACGGGTTGTTTGGGAGAGTAGAAAGTATGAGTGGCTCTTGTGGAATGTGGATAACTGTTCTTGCTCCAAGTATTAGAGAATAAAAGTGAGAGATGCCTTTCATGTTTCAGAAGGAGGGAGAGACCGAGCAATTAAGGCAAAGAAAAAAAAAGGCTAAAGAGTCTATAGAAGGTTAAATAGAAAAGCTAGAGAGTAAGAAAGGAAAGAAAAAAACATTAAGGTAGCAAAAGACAACCTTTTGTCATATGGGCCAATTTGGAATGCTGAAAACATGTGATGGTCAAACTTGCAAAATGGCTGGCTTGGCAATCTCCCCTATGTACACAGTGATGGCCTTGTGGGCAAGATGAATCCCAATACAACCCATGCGTCAGAAGGCAAAACTGGCCTTCTAGGACTTCTAGGCATTTTCATAAGGGTATGTTTAGTTTAATGAAGAGAATGATGAGGGGGGACATGATAGTAGTGTTCCAATATCTCAGGGGCTGCCACAAAGAAGAGGGAGTCAAGCTATTCTCCAAAGCACCTGAAGGCAGGACAAGAAGCAACGGATGGAAACTAATCAAGGAGAGAAGCAACCTAGAACTAAGGAGAAACTTCCTGACAGTTAGAACAATTAACCAGTGGAACAACCTGCCTCCAGAAGCGGTGAATGCTCCAATACTGGAAGTTTTTAAGAAGAGACTGGGCAGCCATTTGTTCGAAATGGTGTAGGGTTTCCTGCCTGAGCAGGGGGTTGGACTCGATGACCTCCAAGGTCCCTTCCAACTTTATTATTATTATTATTATTATTATTATTATTATTATTATTATTATTATTATTATTATTATCATCATCATCATCATCATCATCATCATCATCATCACCACCACCACCATCATCATCATCATCATCATCATCACCCGTCGCTCCCACGTCACGCCGCTTTTGCGCGAGCTGCATTGGCTGCCGGTAGCCTTCCGGGTGCGCTTCAAGGTGTTGACTATTATCTTTAAAGCGCTCCATGGCATCGGACCTGGTTACCTTCGAGACCGCCTCCTGCCACAGATTACCTCCCATCGGCCGGTACGCTCCCACAGAGTGGGTCTCCTCAGGGTGCCGTCAGCCAGACAGTGCCGGCTGGCGACCCCAAGGGGGAGGGCCTTCTCTGTGGGAGCTCCCACCCTCTGGAACGAACTGCCCCCAGAGATCAGGGTGATCCCTGATCTCCCTTCCTTCCGCCGCGCCCTCAAGACGTAGTTGTTCCAGCTAGCGGGACTGGCCTAAGGGATTTTAAAGGGGGTTTAATTACTTTTAATTTGACATATTTAAATATTTCGTTTTAATTAAATTTTAATTAGGTATAACATGTATAATATGTTAGTATTTTATCCAATTGTCAGCCGCCCTGAGTCCGCAAGGAGAAGGGCGGGATAT